TAGCCATAGAATTAACCATACCTTGATGAAAAATGTCTTCTTTACGAAAAAGTATCCGCCGATAGAAATTCCGAGTGGCATTTTTCCAAAGCGTTTCATAAAATCCAATATCTGAAATTAAAAGAAATTTAATGAATTCATTTAAATTTTGTAAAAACTTAAAATGTTTTTATATATTTTGCATTAAGAAAATAATAAAGAGCAAACTTTTAGCTTGAACTGAAGCTGAAGTTCGGCAGAAGAAATCTTCTCGATTGTATTAAAATCACTGTACAACTAAAAGAAGTAACTTGCTTTAAAGAACTCTTTTTCAAATAATAAATGATCAAGTAATATTTTCATACATAAATTATTTAATATCTCATTTAATTTTTTAAGAAATTACTATAGAATATTTTTAATTATGCTCGAGTACAGTAAAAGATAATTTAAATTATTTATAACTTTTGGAATAAATTTCAATCGAACAAACTTTCTACGTCAAAATTTTGTTTAGACACATATTTGGATTAATTAAGACAAATCAGTTTTCTACCTCAGATAAATTAAAATTATTACACTTAAACAATGGATTTCCCTTATCTATCTCTATTTCATATTGTGTATATTAAAAATAACAATAATAATTTCTTGTATTTTATATAAAATATCATACCCATATATAATTTGGGTGTAACGAATAATTTGAAATTCTCTTTTATAGGGTATTCCTATGTTTCCACGAGATATTCCTGTTTAGAATATCTCATAGGAACAAATCTTAAAACATTAATAAAATGTATTTAAACAGCTTTTCGTCACTTACTTTGGAAGATATTTTTGACAGAAAATACGCTATAATCAGGCATCCAGCTATCAACACAATTGATAAAATTATTAACATTAGCATTAAAAGAATCCTATGGTTCATGAACAATAGTGCATAAATCAGAAAACAAGTAAAATGAGTGAAAAAAATATAAACACAAGGCATGAGAAATTCCCACAGTTCATTTATCTGCTGAAACATTTCCCATATTTCCGTGTGTTTTTCAATTAAATCATTTAATATTTGTTTCAGTTTAGGGGTTTATTTGTCGATTTCTTTCATCTCGTTTCCAATATTAATTAATCTGTGATATATAATATACAATGCAGATGTAAAAATACATACAACAAATAGTATTTGGGCGATGCTGTACAGGAAATAAACTCTGAAGTAAATTACACATAAGGCAGCGGTGATATGCGAATTTGTCTGGTTAAGTATACCAGGATACAACAAAATATCTGTACAAATGCATATAGACAACAGAACTACGATAAAAATAATGAAAACAGAAACCATGAATCAATCCAATCTTTCCCATATTTTCATTTCACCATAGAATTCATTTCTGTTGCTCAACCAACAGAATTGCGATTTTTTAATAACAGAATACTGAATGCTAACGTAACTGCAGAAGAAACATATCAATAATTTGAATATGTCATTTGAATAGAACATTAAAGTCCATCCTCCACATAAGATTCTGTCGTTGAAGATATTTACGAATACTCTTAACACGGTAAACCATAAAAAGATTTCTATTCCTATTTGGTATAATTGGTACAAAGAATACTTTTTTTTATTACGTTTTATAATGTATTGACTCATAAAACTGCAGCAACTGCAATGTTTTATTGGGTTCATACCAAATAGGGATCCAACTACAAGCAATGGATGCAAGTAGCAAAGGGGATGAATTGATGACGTTTCTTCTGAAATTCGAATCGATGTTTATGAAGAAGAATCCATGATTTAAAATCGACAACGAATTCAAATTGAAATGCAGATTTTATAATGAATTTAATGAAGCTTTTCTACTCAATGAAATTTTGTAAATCGTTATTTGTATTTGGCTCTTTGCTGTTGCTTCCGATATACGTTCTATCTATGGTTATAGTCGATCGGTATCTATGGTAATAATTATGTATTGACGTAATTTCTAAATATCTTCAATAAATTCTTAGAAGATTTTATTAATGAATCGAGGATTATACACAATCCTGATATATCTAATGTCATAAAACTAATGGATTAATATTGATCGAGTTACTTTATGGACAAGTATTGATCAAAGTTATGGCAACGCAACACGTAGGGGTGATGTCTTCAGGTTCTAAGACAGATGTATTTTAATTAGATAAATTGTCCTTTTCTGTATTTTATTTTGCAAATATTTATGCAAAAATCCGTCAACGAGTTGCTGAACATTCCCGACAACATTTGCTGGCACTATTTATTATAAAAAGGTTTTTAATCAAAATATCATATTTTTAATTATTATGAAATGACAAAAAGCTCAATTTTGAGGACAGGGGTAGGTTTTATTTTTCAAAATTGTAAATGGTAATAACAAGTAAATTCGTCATTAAGTCCTACCCTATTGAAGATACACGTGATCCCCTTTATCTCCCAACCCCTTCGTCCTTTAATAACCAAAATTTAATAGCATCGATCCCTCTCTAGTACATTCACCTCCTTGCAAAATTTTAGAAATTTTTGACCAAAAGCGCAGGAATTATTAAGTTTCAAAGAGGGTGAACAAAATAGTGCTTCCCACACACACAAACTCCACATATAAAAAAAATTCGCGAGATTTTTCTGTTTCTTTGTATTTCTAGACGTTTCGAGGTGTCCCGAGTCCAAAAATGTAAAAATCTTCGAGGTCTTTTCTTGATCATTCGCCATATTTTCCCTCTGTTGTGTATAACAGCCGGGAAAGTAAAAACTGAGTATTGTATTCAGTAGAATTTTCAAGAAACCAGCGAAAATAACTGCTTATTATTTCCACCAGAAAGATGCTACTAAGTTGCGTGTTGATCCAATTATTGATTGCACGAAACATGCCAAATATAGAGATTTTTGAGATTTATTTTAATATTTTAGTAAACCTTACTAAAGGCTACGATTTCTGTATGAAATAAAATAAGTGAATTGAACTTGGATCATTAAATTTTCCTTACAGTTGAAGAGGTGTAAGACAACAAATATACAAAACAAAATTGATTATTATGCTGTATATAACTTCTGCCCGAAATATATAAATTCGTAAACAATAAATGTCATTGCCCACATTACAATTCTGTATCTGGTGCTATAAATGTTCTTAGGATGGAGACTGGACGGATTAAGGAGGTGACAGAGATACTTTTATCGACACAGATGGGGTATGTGTGTCGATAGAAGACAACCAACCCAACACAATCGACACGCCCCTCGGAAAAAATCTTCTATGTGCCTTTTCGGAGTTCTTTCCTAGCATTTGTCCCTCATCGGTGCAGGATCCACTTGTTTACACGCATTGCAGATCTATCGCATCATTTGGTGTAATTTTCATTGTTTCAGTATCTTCTGTGATTCGGTCGAGCCGCCGTTTTTTGAGGCTTCTATGAGGTCTAGTTTCCACTGGGTTATAACAGAGGATACTTTTTCCCTTAAGTTGTCTGTCATCAATGCACGTGACGTGTCCATATCATCACAATCGAGCTTTTCTCATCTTGTCCATAATCGTCCTAACTCCTAATTTTCTGGTGTCATCATTCATTATGTGGTCAAATCGCAAAAGATCCGATAACCATCTTAGGGTTTTCATTTCCATGGCTGGTAGCGCCTATTCATGCTTCTTTATGACAGACCAACATTCTGACCCATCCATTGCTACTGGTCGGATGACTGACATAAATTTATGACACCTTTCCGCAGTTATTGAATACAAAAAAATTCTCAGATTCATGGACTGGACAAAAGAATTAGGCATCGTACACTGAAAATTTGCCTGATGGAAGAGAGTATTTTCACCATCCCGCCGAAAGCAACAAAGCACATACAGCCTTTAGACCAATTATGTGAATTAAGTTGGATAATGTTGTGTTCGTCCCGCTTTAAAGATCTTTAAATGACACTATGAATTTTTCCTCGTATTACCAACGTGAAGAAAACCCAGAAAACTACGTAGCCACTCTTTGTCCAGTCACAAACCCCGACCAACGTTCAGTGTTTTATCCACTCGCTGGTATGCGTCCTATTTTTCTTTAGACCTTATTGCATTAATACCGTTTTGCAAAGTTGCGTAATTTTGTGAACATGTGCCATATCACCTCTCTGCGTGTTCTAATTCTCTGTTTCTATTGTGAATATCGTGGCCACGTGGCTGAAATGGCGCAGCGGCAATCCGCTTACATTTCGGCGCATGCGTTCAGTATTCAAGATGGCGAACGATACCGATATTGTCGCTATCCACGTGTTTACAAATTTTGTTTTGTACGGCTTGCTTTATTAGACATTATTTGATCGCACAGGGGGGTCGACACCGTGGGGGGTTCCCGCCCCCTTCAGGCAACACTTGATTCTTACCAAATTACATATGATATTTGTGTAGAATTCGTGTTAAATTTATTATCTTTCCTCTTTATTCTGATGTTAGTTATCTCAATTCACTGCGTCGAACTTTCCGCCATTAAAACACCACGGGATTGTATTTTCTCACGTGACTACCAGACGAACTGTTATTGGCTGATAGAATCGCGTCTTGGCGGCGGTTGCCGTAAAGGGTACTTGTACTGTACGTCACGAGAACGCACACCAACAAGTGATTTTTTGAAATTCCCCCTCCGCGGGAAAGTGACAGGATTTAAGACTTCAACAATGGAAGTGTTAAGAGAAAGCAACGTGCAAGATTTACAGGCGCAGATGCGGGTTTTTTGCGTTAAATCGAGCATAATTTTAGACCCATCTAAAAATTTTCTAATTAGTCTGGAAACGGGGGAACGTAATCCTTGCATTCTGTGAAAACGGATAAGATTGTCTGTAATGTAATAATCTTAATCTTCGCTATCGTTACTTTTTGCCCAAGCAACGCCGGCTTATCTGCTAGTTATGGATATAATTTTGCTTGTTCTGAACAGTTCGCAGCGATTCTCTTTGTGAGTCATAAACCGTACACTATTAAATAATATCGTACTTACCTACAATGGTTCTAAACTTCTATTGTTTTGAATGAAATTGTCTTTGTTGATTTCCTCGCTAACTTAATTAAGTACACAATCACGCAAAGTGATAACTAGGGACGAACACTACGATTTTATTGGCCAACCATGGTTGGTGGACGTGTTTGTTGCCCAATAATATTTATGGAAAGGACGAACACTAGATAAAATTTTCCATGAGCACAGTCACACAATGACGATATCCATACTCGCTGCTCATAAATTGGCGCTGGTATTATCCTGGACGTTCACCGATTGTTTATTGGTAACAAGTGTTCATGTTTTCCAAACTTTCGGAAAACCAATGTTGGCCAAATTCGTCGTCGGGTAACGTGTTTTGTGACGTCAAAATTGGCCAACAGATTACATTGGGCAACAAAATTGTGTAGCGCTCGCCCTCATTTAACCAAACGAAAACACGTCTTTTTCTTAAAAGATTTTTTACGCTTTTTTTTAAATGGACCATATTAAACAGATGTTAAATCGCACGATTTTGATGCGATTACACCAATGTAATCGTATCAAAATCGTATATTTATTTGTACTGACTACTGGGAGGTTTGAAGGGGTTCTCATCCACAATGTCAGTAAATTCCGCTGACTAGTAGAAAAAGTAACGCCACAAAAGAATTATTTTCGGAATTTAAAAAACATATATATACATAAAGAAGTGATGGGAGGAATGGGGAGGAGAGACATCCTTTTCATGAGAGCTTTATGAGAATCGAACAAAATACAGACAAACAACCCTATGATGATCTCATAAGAAATAGGTATATGTGGACTTTCTGACCTGAGTGTGTCAGCTTACGCTTTCTCAGAGTTGACAGTAGCACCTTATGACACATACACCGGGGGCCTAAAGGTCGAGGGAAGGTCAGTCGCCGCCCGTTCATCAGGCTATTTAGATCAGTGCATGTGTTGTTATCTCTCTGCAATTCGTTTGTGTGTCTCCTTTAGATTTCTCGTCGCCATTCTTATTGTGCGCTTTTCTTCAACATCCCAAAGTTTCCTATACTCTGGGTTGTAGGTTTCCTAAATCAGATTCGTAAAGTATTTGAAAACTCTTTCCCTACGCGTAACCGCGAATACTATGTCTTATAATTTCTACAAAAATAACAAAATTCTAATATTATACAGTACTTTAATTTTTCTGTTCAATTTTCTAATGTCTAAACAAGTTTATTATTATTTAAATTTGCCTATAAAGATTCAACTACTTACAAAAGTGAGATATTTATCATTCATTTACAATAAGGCACAGTTTCATGGTACAATTAATGGTCACTTTTGACTAGTTTTTTTAACATTAAATCTGTGAAAGACTACTTACTGACTAGACAATATTGCATGGGAAAGCATTATAAAAAAAAAATATGATGATACAATACAAAATGTCTGATAGAAAAATTAATATACGAAATTAAAACAGTCCAGTTTTAAATTGCAAACGTTAAAAAGTGATGTAATAAATATTAAATTATTTTTAAAATATAGAAAAAAAAATAACGTTTACTTTTGAAATAATAATTGTATAAATTCTGTATAATCGTAAGCACCAGAAATTGGATAACCCGTCTTGGGATCTATGTAAGCTTTCATGTGTGCCAAACAATAATCTGCAGCTTCCTTCCTGAGATTCTAGAATTATAATTAAATTTCTTTATAAATTTATATCCTGTAAAATTCAAAAATACTATTGTCGTTTAGGGTTTTACTTACGGCATATAATTCTTCGGCAGTGATATATGGGCGATCCGTAGTTATGGATTTAAAAGCTTGTTGCACGTCTTCGCTGGAACGTACGTTTTCTGTTTCTCTCGATATCATAAATGCCATGTATTCTTGTAGAGAGACGTACCCATCTCTATGTGGGTCGACTACGTTTAGAATCGATTCGAATTCGGGTTCGTATTGCCCTTCCTCTACCATTGGTAAATCGTATCCCAGAGCTCGAAGGCAGCTCTTAAATTCGAAATGGTTGAGTCGGCCGGTTCTGTTCCTATCGAAATGTCTGCAAAAAACCAATTTCTACTTTACCAAAATAATACCACCACTTAGAAATGTGCCAAAATGATAACTCACTTGAACATCATACTGAATTCCCTCAGTGCATCTTCAGAAACACCACTTTGATTACTGAAATGATTAAAGAAAGGTGAAATTTCTGTAAATAATAATATAAAAAAATATATATCTTTGACATAACGGTGCTAGTGATATGCAAGATACTATTTTATAAAATAATACACAATTTCCATCCAATAACATAGAGCAGTCTGGATGCAGCCACCATCAAAATAACTTGAATTTATTTCTCCTTANATATTAACAAAAATATAAAATTGAAGTAACCTATCCAACTTTCAACAACATCTGCTTTCCACATAAACTGTAAATAAGCGGAATTATCCAACAGTTTCCCTTTACGGATAATGGCGCTTTCTTCAATATTATTCATTCTGTCTTGAAGTTGTTGCAACCTTTGAGAAATTACTTTTGAATGATGATTTCCTGCAGCAATTAGTTGTTCCCCAGCAGAAGTGATACCTGCACACCTTTCTTTATGAACGGCAAAATCGCTTTCAAATGCTATATGCTTCTTTAACAAACCCTGCATGGTAGATAATTTTTAATAATTCCACAATATAAATATGATCTTAAATTATTCATTTATTAAAACTATTTTAAATTTAAACTTTTAGAGCATCATTATTTAATAATTTTAAATTGTTTAATCATTAATAAAATAGTTAGATCAAGATCATGTTTAATTATTATTTTAAATATATACAGCAAGTCCTCATCTAATGTCACATTGTTGAGGAAAAGATACATGTACATATGTAATCATTTACAATTATTGTTGTTGAATTTTATTTATAAACAGTGAAACTTATTCTACGAGGCAAATTATAAATAAGATCCAATAAGAATAACATTAACCAAATTATATCTTGTTTATACCATTTAGTTTATGGTAAAATTCATTTTGTTATAAGTCATTTCTGTTTAATGTCTCAGTTTTGAAGAACTTGAGTGAGTGAGGACTCACTGTACAAAGTTTATATGTTTCAATAATAATTCAATTTTATATTATACAACATTTCCTTATTGATTTCAAAACTGTTTACAGTTTGGAGTGCTTTTGAATGCATTGTCACGGTGTCCCAATCAGACTACCAATAACATACTGTATCAGTAAAAGGATGTTGATGCCAGGTTGTAATGGCATGGTGGTGTGGTCAGCATGAAGCTGTAGTGTTTTATGTTAATTATCAGCATTCACACAGAATATAAGAAAGAAACTTAAAGATCAGGGACCCATCAAAGGGTGGAGAGTACAGAAAAACAGGTTCAAATTGAAAGTAGTTTCAACTTAACAAAACAATATTATATATGCCCAGGACCTGTAGACAGCTTCAAGTTAATGCAACTTTGAGTTAACACAGTTAAGCTTAGTGAGGTTTTACTAAAATTACTATAATTTTAAAATATATTTTATTATAAATATAATTAAAAATTTTTATGGNTGCACACCTTTCTTTATGAACGGCAAAATCGCTTTCAAATGCTATATGCTTCTTTAACAAACCCTGCATGGTAGATAATTTTTAATAATTCCACAATATAAATATGATCTTAAATTATTCATTTATTAAAACTATTTTAAATTTAAACTTTTAGAGCATCATTATTTAATAATTTTAAAAGATTTTATTTATTTCTTAGATTATTTGATATTTTAGATGACAAATAATTTAATTAAATTTGTCTTTTAACCTTAACTGTACTGAGTAAATGGTAAAGAAGTGATGACTATTGAGGCGGGATAAATGACTCGTATCCAGATCCCAACTGCACACCTCCTCTCTCTTCAGTAACTGTCAGTGTGTCACCAACAATTGTCATCTCTGTCTGTAAGTTCATGGCTCCTTACAATCGTCTTTATTGCACTTCATTCATACATACATAGAACACTGGCCAGACAAAGCAAGACGGGTCTCTTTGTTAACTGTTTTATATAACCATAAACTCTGAGGCAATAGTCTTGCCAATGTGTACAAACCATGAGGCAATGGTATTGCCAATACATTACACCAAGCTAGCAACAGTCCACATTAGCTCAGATAATTGGGGTTCTATTGTATATTTCTTACTACCAGATGTTATTATTTAACTTCTATTACTTTCAATTTTTTATCAATAAATTAATTTTCTAATTGATAAGTTTTTAATTGCCAAAGCCCTGGATCTCCAAAACAAAAGAAGAAAAAGCCTATTAATTTTATACTCAAATAGATCCTCAATCTAAGAAATAATTATATCAGTATAAACAAGATGAGTTAACATAATCATTTAATGTAGCATCAAATTGGACAAACCTGTACTGCTGCCATAGTACTTCCATAATCTTCTATAGATAATAAATGTTGTTTTTCTGAAATCCAGGCATCTTCTTCCTCTACCTTAGCCAAAAATTGATGGTAGAGTAAAGATTCCTCTAATTTATTTCCACGATCGGATGCAATCTAAAATTAAATTTTTGTGTAATATAATATATTATTTTCATAAAGAAAATTCTATTAAATCTTAACTTCAAACTTAAAATCAAAACTTCACCTTTTTCAATTCTCTCCAAGAATTCATGAGAGCTTCTAATCTTTGTTCTATTTCAGGTATTCCCAATTTTGATTCGGCCATCAGTTGTTGTCCTGTTTCTTGAACGGCCTGAATAATTGGTTCGTGGGATCCCAATTCTGTTTCAATACGTAAATGTTTCTTGAGTAAATTTTGTACTCCCATCAATTCTCGACCGTAATCATCAGAACTCACTAATAATTTCTTCTCTCTATATTAAAATTAATCATTTAATATAAAATGGTATTAAATATATAAATAATAACCTCGCTTACTTAATCCAGGTTTCTTCGTCCGCGATATCACGGAAAAATTGATGTAGAGTATTTGCATCATTCAAATGCGCTCTTCTGTAGGCAGCTAGAGTTTTAATTCTTTCAAAGCGTTCGTTTATATTATTGCATTTTTCTTGAATGGACGGAGCATCAAACTGACCAGAATCGACCAAACTTTGTGCTAAATTATTCATATCGCGAATGTGATCCTCATGAGTAGTTATGTCGGCTTCGACCATCTGATGTTTTTTAATTAAATTCTGAACTGAAGTCAAATCCTTTCCGGCTTCTTCAGATTTCAATAGAGATTCAACCTAAAAAGTAATGTCATTTGAATAAAATTTGGAATTAAATTAATTTATCTATTATCATCAAATTATATTATTTACCTCTCCCAGCCAAAAGTCAATATCTTTTACAGCAGCATTAAAAGATCTTTGTTTGTTTGCTTCTTTTAATTTTATACTCTTCTCGGTTGTTTTTGTGGTAAGATACACCCATTGTTCCGTTATACTTTTTAATCTTGCTTGTACGGCATCTTCAGAATCGGCACATTGCTTTTTATCAATTAGATTTTGTCCCGCTGCTAATACGGATTGTATTCTTTCGGCATTGGCAGCTAATTCAGCTTCGAAAGCTTGTTGTTTCTGATGTTTACTCTGTAAAAAGCAACAATTAACAACTGATGTAATTTGTTAAAATTAAAGTTACAGAACTGTTAAAATAAATAATTACTATTTAATTTTAATATCTTTTTTGTTATTTTTTTCATTTTTTAATTTTTTCTGCCCTGTGAGCCTTTTATCTGGATTTGGCCAGGCCCAGGCCAGACCCCCTTCTCTAGAAAGTGCAAGTAATTACCTCTTTTGGTCTCAAAAAAGATTTTCAATGATAAAAATCTAACATATTTTAATTGAAAAATAACAAGTAAAATAAAATAAAAAATAAGCAAACTATTCTGCGAGACTCATTATCTTTGTAAAATTTGTATTTAATCTTTGCAATATCATACAAATATTCAAATTTATTGTTATGCTTATAAAATCTCTCTTGTATAAAGGTACAAAAAATCCAATCCTAACACATGGAACATAGAATAAAAAAGTGTGGACATCAAGAATTCTTATTTAATGTCACCCTTGTCTTCATTCTGGCAATCATACTAAAATGCATCTTTGGTCTGTTTTGAGGCTAGAGAAAACTCTCCTATACTTTCTATCACTTGACTCATCCCTTTTCCAGCAGGTTTACATTTGATGTGGGGCCTCATTAAGAGGATCTCACCATAGTACTCTGATCAGATTGTTTACATAAAATGACAACCCTGCACAAACTGACAATGTGTTGTTTTGTTTACTCAACAGCTCTTCCAACAACTGATACATGGCTATCCATATGTCAAATTTTAATTTTAATTTCTTTATATTTTACAGATATATAATTTGAAGTAGAATAAGAGGGTAAAAGATCATTACTCTGGGAAATTTCATTGCATATGGCTACATCCCTGGATATTGTAGCACAAGGATACATCAATCAAGAATAGTTTCATCATAAATGTTGCATATTATTAAGTTGTAAAGCCATCTCTGAAATTGGTCATTTAGTCATTAATTGCCATTTCCTGATTTGTAAAATTTGTGATGAAACCATTCTTTAATGATGTATCCATGTGATTTAATACCGAAATGAATCGTTTATTTTTTCTACTACTCCATTTCATGTGCAAAATTTTATTACTTTTGCACACTGGCTTTAAGGTGTGTCAATTATTTTGCAACAGAGTGTATTAGAAGAAACATATCTAATCAAAAGTTTTAAATAAACTATCATACCTGAATATTTGCTGGATCTTTATAAGATTCATCAATTGCCATTTGTAATTTATCTGCAATCCAGTTTTCAATTTCATCGGCATCTCTGCTGAAATGCTGCAGAGTTTGAGATTCTCCGAGTTTTGAACGTTTCTCAATTAAACCTTGCTTTAAATGTTTCCATCTGACAAAATATATGAAAAAAAAAAATTAGTAATTTTAACTATCAAACATCAATTTATTAAAATCTTTTATCGTTACATATTTATTAGGGCTTCTGAATAAAATGTTTAGTTCTAAGTTATTTAGAAATATTAATCCTTTTTCTGAATTAGTCTGCTATTAAAACAAATAAGATAATTCAAGTTGATAGCATTAAGTGAGGAGCACGTACTGTGTTTTATCAAACTCAAAATTCAATATTTAACAGAATATTTGTGAGTAATATTAGATGCAGAAGCGCATCCAGCTCATGGCATCACTAACTGTTATTTATAACGTCATCAAATTCCTCATGCTACTGTTCATAAGTAATATTTACATTTGTTTACCCAACAGTAGAAGATTCCCTGTCGATAAAAATACAAGTAATAATATTGTGGAAATGATTAGTCAGGAAATATATGAAGATCCTGCGTACAAATACAGATTTGATATTCCAATAGTATATGATGTAGCATCATTCTACCACTGGTGCTTCCTAATCATTTTCTTACCATTATAAACTTTTTCAACTTTGTTCTTTGTTTTGTATACTAGAAGTTTTCTTTTTTCCACGCTGCAGGCTAGATTATACAAGGGTGGAGATGGATTGATAACATCTTAGGAGTTGCTCTTGTTACTTATATAAGAGTGTAGGTCCATTTAAAGTGTCATTTTTTGTTCTCCTGTTGGTTGTAATGCACATCTTGCAGGCTAAGACCTATCAGACAAAAAACAAGGAGAAGAGAAAACAGACTAAAAGGAAAAATGGCTCCACGAAGAGACCAGATGAAAGACTAAAGGAAAAGAGAACAGCAATATCAACTAGAAATGAGAAGTGTTTCATCTTTGTCTCCTACTATTAAGACTGACTGAATGTTCTAAACATCTATAGAGTACACTTTAAGAAACCAAACATATACAATTATAAGGAAATGATCACCAATGAGTCCCTAATAAATTTTTATAACATTGAACTCTATCTGAGCTGGCCCATATTCACTTTTTTCTATCAGTCATATAATTGTATGTCTATGTTGAGATATAAGAGTTTTGTGAAACTGGAGTTTAGGACAAAGGGTGAGACTATACTTATTATATTGTACTGGACACAATAGATTTGTATTGTATTGATGTGAAAAATGCAAATAAAAATAATTTTTTTATTGTTTACACAATCAGAGAAACCACTTGCACTATCAACAATCCAGTTTCTTAAGTGCATTACATAAAGACATTACAGTCTGTTCAAAGAGTTCATGCAGTTTTCAAATAATGCGGAAATTCCAAACTATATTCAGTATCAGTTCTTCTAATATTTAATTAAATTTAAGATTGTAATTAAAACTTTTAATTGTAGAAAGGAATGTATAATTTTAATATTTACCTGTCTAAAACTTGTTGTTTTTTATCATTGATATCATCTGTGGAATAGTGATCAGAGCATATTAATTGATCAGCCATTGATACTAATGTAGCAATCTTTTCCTCCTGTAATAGAATGTTTTAAAAATTAAAAATTTTTATTAGATGATAAATAATATTGAAATTAAAACTGATTTTACAGTTTTATATAAATATAAGAAAGGAATTATAATTATTCATTACTTGCGCATTAATAGCTTTGTCAAAATCTTCATGTTTTTTAATTAGTGTTTCAACATCCGTTTCATCCGAACTCAAAAATGCTTCCCTATTACCCATCCAGTTTTCGGCTTGTTCGCAATCGCGGTAGAAAAACTGCAATTCTAAACACTGATCGAGTTTGACTCTACGAGCAATCCAAGCCCTAAAACAATTTTTGAAAATAATAAGAATGTAAACAGTAATAAATAAATAGTAACTAGCCAAAAAGTGAATAATAATAGTGATAAATATTTTTAAAATTTTACATTTAGTTAACAAAATTATTATTATTTTACTTCTCTAATTCTTGTCTACTCTCATTCATTTTTTCAAGCTTTTCCTGTACTTCTATACTTGCATAATGACCACTCTGTAATAAATGCTGTCCGAACATTTCAAATGCTTGGAATGTTCCAGATCTTGCATCAACATCTGCACGATTTTCCTGTAAAAGATTTTTTACTTATCTTTATATTTATTATTATAAATCGTATGTATAAGAANGTGATGTAATAAATATTAAATTATTTTTAAAATATAGAAAAAAAAATAACGTTTACTTTTGAAATAATAATTGTATAAATTCTGTATAATCGTAAGCACCAGAAATTGGATAACCCGTCTTGGGATCTATGTAAGCTTTCATGTGTGCCAAACAATAATCTGCAGCTTCCTTCCTGAGATTCTAGAATTATAATTAAATTTCTTTATAAATTTATATCCTGTAAAATTCAAAAATACTATTGTCGTTTAGGGTTTTACTTACGGCATATAATTCTTCGGCAGTGATATATGGGCGATCCGTAGTTATGGATTTAAAAGCTTGTTGCACGTCTTCGCTGGAACGTACGTTTTCTGTTTCTCTCGATATCATAAATGCCATGTATTCTTGTAGAGAGACGTACCCATCTCTATGTGGGTCGACTACGTTTAGAATCGATTCGAATTCGGGTTCGTATTGCCCTTCCTCTACCATTGGTAAATCGTATCCCAGAGCTCGAAGGCAGCTCTTAAATTCGAAATGGTTGAGTCGGCCGGTTCTGTTCCTATCGAAATGTCTGCAAAAAACCAATTTCTACTTTACCAAAATAATACCACCACTTAGAAATGTGCCAAAATGATAACTCACTTGAACATCATACTGAATTCCCTCAGTGCATCTTCAGAAACACCACTTTGATTACTGAAATGATTAAAGAAAGGTGAAATTTCTGTAAATAATAATATAAAAAAATATATATCTTTGACATAACGGTGCTAGTGATATGCAAGATACTATTTTATAAAATAATACACAATTTCCATCCAATAACATAGAGCAGTCTGGATGCAGCCACCATCAAAATAACTTGAATTTATTTCTCCTTACTCAATATGATGATGCTTTCCTTGTAAAATAATAAACAAAGATCCATGTAACTCCTGTGGTTCCAGACTTATGTGACACTCTGTACATAGTGGTCACTTTTGCATCTTAGCAATAAACTTTGAAATGTAAATAATGAAATGTTCTTTTATTTTAATATGATTTCAACAAATTTCAAAGATAAAACTAGTAAAATAATCCGTCGTAAGCTCTCTTATATAAAATATATAATAAGAACTTACCGAGCTTGTATTTGTTGTTCTAAATTATGTTGCATCCTCATCCCCAACTGATCAAGTTGGTCCCATTGCTGGGCTAATCCAACCGTGCTATGTTCGGTGTAACGATTATCTAAAATCAAATGTTCTTCTAGAATGGCTCCCAATTCTTCAATCTTTTTCAGGTCAGCTTTCTTTGCTTTCACTTCAATTAACTTCCTCTAATTAAAAGTTAAATATACTTTATAAATTTTATTTAGTTATATATAACAAAGGAAATCTTTAAAGTTTATCTGATTTAGACATTTTGTATTTTGCATGGCACGTTAATTAAATTTTTCGTTCAGTGATTGAGTAGTAATATATAAAATATTAATATTATATTGTGTTAACATGAAAAATTGATCACTTTCTTTGTCATAAAAGTTATAATTATATAATACTGTGTGTTTGAATATAATCATTTCATATAGATAAGATCAAATATATAAACTTTACAAACTGATAATAAACGTAATAAATAAATTATCTAATTACATGAAATGTAGTATAATAAATAATAAATATTGTAACTGTAGCAATTGAGAAGCTAATTAAATAACTTACTTTAGTAGCCTCCAATTGCACTTCTAGAGATCCGGATCCTTCCAGCATAGCCGAACTAAGTCATTTTTTAAATAAATAAGTAAATAAACTTCAATTTTAATTGTATTTATTCAATGTTTAAACGTTAAATATTTACTTACCCATCTAAAAGCCACATTCTTTTGACATGAAAATAAAACTTTGGCTTTAATATAACATTTTATAGATTATATTAGAAATAAAATGCATATATCAATTAATCTCATACCTTGTAGCAGAAAGCCATTGATGAAAAATATTAGCATGTTTAGCAAATTCTCTTCTTAATCTGTCATTTTCTTCCTGTCTTTGTGATTCTTTTAACAATTCAGCATCTCTCTCCTTTCATAACATTAAAATTTCTATTATTATTATTATTTGATAATTTTTTTATTTTCTTATTTATTAATCGTGTAGCATCTACATTTTTATTTCTTCCTTTTAATAAAATTAATTTAAATAAAGAATGCAATATTCAATTCACCAAAACCTTTGTAAGTAGCAAAAATCACATTAATCACTAATGTGTTTGGTCATTTTCAATGGCCTTCTTCAGGTTACATAGAATAAATCAAGCAATCATTTTTTAAATCAATTTGACTATTTCAAATGATTTCATTGAACGAAATCACTCGAAATGTTCAGCATTCCTTGTTTTAATTATTTATGTGTTCTTGAATGTTTTGATTTATTCTACATAATTTGTAGAAAGTCATTGAAAGTGACCGGAAACACCAGTGTTTAAAGTGTCTTTTTTATTTCGCTGCTTACAAAAGTTTTTGTCAGTTAAATATCTAATGTAGCAGTTTCTAGTTGTTAATGAATGCAATGATTATACAATAATAATGTAACTGTTTCTAAAAATGTTTGTTTTCTAATATACTGATTAGTTAATTTATTAAAATTTAGCTATCAATACTGAGCCTACTCAATATACAATATTATTTACACACTTCAAATTCAATAGATAGTTACTACACAAATCACACTTACCTGAATTATCTTTTGTAAATTATGCCATGTTTCTTCTAATGCCTCCATTGTAAACCATGTATATGGATTAGCTCCAACACTAAAGCTTTTTATTTGTTTATCTAAAGCAGCCAAGGCTTGAATATCTCCTTGAGCGGTAGTTAACGATGATTGGAAAAGAGCGTGTGCTTTACGAAGTGCCTGAAAGCAAAATTTTTTCTTATATTTCATATTGATGTTTTGCTTTAATAAATCAACTTGTTGAAAAGTATCAAACCTTTATTTCTTCTACTGAATTACATCTTACAGGATCAGTTAGATCTTCTTCTGCATTCTCAAACCAACTATTAAATGTAGATGCTTTTTTGGCAAAAGCTAAGAAGAGTTCTTCAATCTACAAAATGTAAAAAATTTCTTTGTAATTAACATAATTTTAATGATTTATTTATATTAAGTTCTATTTGTTATTTCAACTTCATAGATGATCAATACAAAATCTTCCTCACTTATTTGTATTGATCATCTTTAAACAGTTCTAGCTACAAATGCATAGAAGTTCAACTTCATAGAGTAAGTGTTTGCAATTTCATCAAGACTAGTTAATCGTCTTTGATAATATATCTGTACAGCAAGTTTAATTTTAAAAAGATCTTTATAAACAATTTAGAAAGATGAAAGTGTCACTACTTCTTCACATTTTCTGACAAATTGTATTTGCCTTTAATTTCCATTTTCTCTGTTATGCTGCTTTCAACAGGCATTTCTTAAGACCAATGCACACGAGCAGCAAACTTATGATGGCAATGAGCATCTATGGTAGGATTAACCAATGTCTTTAGTTGATTGTCAAGGCCATAAAAAATGATTGATGTAAATAGTCATTGATGCTTACTGGTGTCTTAATTTTGCAACCTGTGTACATTGGCCTTTATGTTACATTCAAGGTAAAGCTTCTCTTTCCTTTACATTGTATTCAAGTATTCATACAAACCCATTAACTCTTACAATTAGCCAATCATGTATCAAAAACTTTGTAGTCCTTTTCCTTAGGTTTGTATAAAATGGTATACTTTTCTACTTCAATACTTAAATTTTCATCTTTCAATGTATTTTCCTCAATTAATTTTTCTCCTGTTATTCTTGTGTGCACATAAAATGATGGGACAATTTCAATTGACTGAATATAAGATTCCTTATATCAAAATCAATGGATTCAACTCTAAAGTAACAGCATTTTACCCTTGAGACAGCTTCTTGATATATAATAATGTCACAATTTTTACTTTTTACATTAATTCTGCTTATGTGGAGCTTTAGCTTTCTTTTAGTTATCTAATGTACAAGATCAACAGACAATATAATCAATTATGTGGCTTTATAACGTTACATTTTTTTATATTTTTAAATAAAGAAAACCTTTAAAAAAATAATAAGTATGTTATTATTAATTTAGTCAAAATATTGTAAATACTGTACAAAAAATGCTGGTGACAATGAAGGGTTTAATTCAAATACTTACATGTTTAAACTGACTCAACATATGAAGTAATTTTTGTTTCCGTACTTCGGATGCAGCTAATAATTTTTTCCATCTAGGCATTCATAAAAATAAGTACATCATTAAATATATATTAATTTGAGAGCACATTCTTATAAAAATCATTAAATATGAAATTTCAGGAATGTTTAAATTTACAGATTTGTTCTGATTAAAATTCAGATCAAATCTTTAAATAAATGTTTCCTATCAAATATTTAAACCAAATATATAATATAGATCAAGAAAATTCTACTCAAGCTAAATTAGAATACAATAGATCATCCTATTCATGTTATATTCTTTACTATTATGTCTATGCTTTGTATAAATTTATTTATCTAGCTTATTTAATTTTATGATAGCATCGATGAAGCTAGCAAGTATTATGAGGTTGCAATTTTCAAATCATATACTTATAGATTCCCTGCTGTCATTCACCTTTCTGTCTCTCTTTCCTTAATCTTGAGAACAGAGTTAGACTGCTGAAAATTGAGACCATATACGGAAATATTAGGGGCTGGTGACCCTAATTAACTATACAGAAACTTCCAGTCTAGACTAGAAGTGACTTTTTAATTTAAAATATGATTAAAAATTGTACAATCTCTCTACACACCAGTGTTTAAATAAAATAAAATAAATAACTCTTCAAACCTTTAATCGGAGTGCTTCTATTTTTAGAATTGCAGAATTGCGATCGTTTTCCTCGCCCCTCCTGGGCACTTCTTCAGGCTTTAACAAATGGTCCTTTAATATTCAAATAAACATCAGATATCGAATGTTTATTTGAATATTAAAGGCCCATTCGTTATAGCCTCAATAAGTGCCCAGGAGGGGTGAGGAAAACTATCGCAATTCTGCAATTCTAAAAATAGAAGCACTCCGGTTAAAGGTTTGAAGAGTTATTTATTTTATTTTGATTAAAAATTGCACTCAAATAATGCAAAATTTAATTGTAATAAATTCTGACTTATATTTTATGATAATTTTAACTCTAAAAATATATACTTTTACAAATCTTGACATTTTAGGCATAGTCAGTATTATTTTTTAATTATTAAATGACACGTGAGAGTTATATTATACTTTTACATTACTGTAGATGTGTTACGTTCTAATATCACAGTGAATCTGAAAATAATTACATTACGTTAATAAAATTAATTATATTTGTGAAATTTTATTACCTTTCCATAACATCATCGAGTTTCTTTATAATTGCTGGTGTTTGTTTATGATTTGCAGCTACTAATTGCTCTTTCAACTGTACAATTGCCTGTATTCCTTCTTGCTCGAATGCCATTAATCCAGCATCGAAACTATCCTGTAATAAATCAGTTAAATTTTGTTTGAATTTATTCATTAATATATTGATATCATTAAAAAATCATAAAAGCAATTTTTTAAATTAAAAAACATAACTATTGTACTTCTAGCTTAATAATTAACAAATTCAGAAATCTATGACAGAAAAATAAACTTCCTGCAAGTCTAAAAGCTACGGTATCACTAATTGCACTCAACCTTTCAGTTTATTATCAGTTTAAAATAAGAAAGTGTAAAGTCAAGATTAATAACAGACCTTCATGGTAAAAAGGTGATAACTAGCAGAATTTATTAAAATTTAAAAGCAATAGATATAACATGTCTATTGCTAAGAGAAAACATTTAATAATTTTAAATTGTTTAATCATTAATAAAATAGTTAGATCAAGATCATGTTTAATTATTATTTTAAATATATACAGCAAGTCCTCATCTAATGTCACATTGTTGAGGAAAAGATACATGTACATATGTAATCATTTACAATTATTGTTGTTGAATTTTATTTATAAACAGTGAAACTTATTCTACGAGGCAAATTATAAATAAGATCCAATAAGAATAACATTAACCAAATTATATCTTGTTTATACCATTTAGTTTATGGTAAAATTCATTTTGTTATAAGTCATTTCTGTTTAATGTCTCAGTTTTGAAGAACTTGAGTGAGTGAGGACTCACTGTACAAAGTTTATATGTTTCAATAATAATTCAATTTTATATTATACAACATTTCCTTATTGATTTCAAAACTGTTTACAGTTTGGAGTGCTTTTGAATGCATTGTCACGGTGTCCCAATCAGACTACCAATAACATACTGTATCAGTAAAAGGATGTTGATGCCAGGTTGTAATGGCATGGTGGTGTGGTCAGCATGAAGCTGTAGTGTTTTATGTTAATTATCAGCATTCACACAGAATATAAGAAAGAAACTTAAAGATCAGGGACCCATCAAAGGGTGGAGAGTACAGAAAAACAGGTTCAAATTGAAAGTAGTTTCAACTTAACAAAACAATATTATATATGCCCAGGACCTGTAGACAGCTTCAAGTTAATGCAACTTTGAGTTAACACAGTTAAGCTTAGTGAGGTTTTACTAAAATTACTATAATTTTAAAATATATTTTATTATAAATATAATTAAAAATTTTTATGG